CACAAACATTAATCACAAACTCCTAATATGTAACTGTTTGTTATTTGTTTAACTACAAACTTGGGCTTGGTGGGATGTTAAGTATGCATAGAATATGTTATTAATTTTTTTAAACCTTATATTTCCCCAAGAGGCTATTAAAAAGAGAATTTCAAGTATTGAATAGTGCATACATAATTTTATAACAGCATAGATATATTAATGTAAATAATAGACAAATAGCTGAAGAAAGTCTAACGTTGAGGAAGTAGAACTGAGGTATGAATGGGTGAAATAATGAAATATAGTTTTGGATTTATTTATTTTATTGGTATAAGTATTTTGCCTGTGTAAGTGTATATGCATCACACATGTGCCAGGGACCTGCAGAAGTCATAAGCATGCATTAGATTCCCTGGAGTTATGGATGGCTACAAGGTTCCATGTAGGTTCTGGAAACCAAACCCTGGTCCTCTGAAAGAGCCTCAAGTGCTCTTAATCACTGTGCCTGCTCTCCTGCCTTGGTGTGACTGGTTGTTATGATTTACAGGACTATTTAAATTTTTAAATCTTATCTATGGATTATACTAAAAACATTGAAATAAATTGCCTTTTGGATGAGGGATTTGGAGTCAGACATTTGCTTCAAGATTAAGTTTCAAAATGTATTTTATCTTGCTTATAACATTAGCCTATCTCTGTTTTATGGTTCCTGAAAACATGAAATTCCTGAGTCAGAAATAATGGAATTTATTATTAGGGGAAAACAAGCAGCAAGAATACCTCTCCCATATCCACTAGTCTCTTTGGACCAATGCAATGGGTTTAGGTGACTAAAAGTGTGCAGCCACTTGTGTGATGACTCTGGAAGACAGAGTTGGAGAACACACTATTTTTAGATCAAACTGTAAACAAACCTCTTTTTCTAAGTGAACAATGTGATCCCATGTCAGAAGGTTAGCAGAGTTTATAATCCTTAGACATGGTACAGGTAAAATTCTAGTGCTGCAGTCAGTCTTTGTAGGCTCCACAGGAGATGTGGGGAGAACCAGAAGACCGGTGAAGACTGACTACATCTTTCAGCTGTGATCTGGACTGTGCTGGCTACTAGCTGTGATTTGAGACAACTGTTTACTTCTACAAACAAACAAACAAATAACAACAAAACCAACTCATTTTCCTTCTATATGTACACCAAGTAAATCAAGCCAAAAATAATGAATGTTAAAAACCTAGCGTGGAGCCAGGCATACAATAGGCATGAAAGTTTTTATTTATATCTTTCCAAAAGAGAAAGCAAAGCAAAGCCAACCTAAGGATGATTCTTATCAGAAAGGATGGAAGCATATGAGAAGCAGTTAAACATTAAATGCTGGCTACTCTGATTGCACTCTAGCAGCTTTGCTGCAGGTGCAATCCTCTTCTTTTTAAAATCAAATAACAAGAACATTTTTTTCGGAGTTATTGCACACAATTCGGTGATGACAATTTCAACCTTTATTTTAGCCAGCTAAAATTTCTGTTGCTCTGAACGCCAATTGTATAAGCAATTGAAGTTTACCTGCTTAATATATGTTTATTTTTGAACATTGACTGATACCAATGGATGTAAACAAAAAAGTAACTGATGCTTCTTAAAATGGTGTTTGTTCATTAGAAAGTCTGTTTACAGTGCTGAAAAATACATGTTTGGGAATATAGCATGTGTATAAACAAACGTGTTTCTTTTTTAAAATTCATGATTTGTTCATGTCAACTTCCCGCTGGAATTATCATTGATGCTATTATGATGGGCTGGTTAGATTTATGTTGTTTTTTTTTTAACTTTTTGTCAGTTGACAAAAAAATCCTCCCAGATTTAACACATAGTAACAGTTTGTAATGTCTGTCCTGGTGTTCTTACACGTGGATCTATTCTAAATTATTCATTCCCTATGGAATCATTCACAATCACATACCAAACCACTCATTCATGTAAAATCACTGGGAAAATTTCTTATGATTTCAGCAGTCTAGTCACACACACCTTTCTAACCGTTGTAAAAAAAAAGACTATTTATACATCTTACTTCACAGTTAAGGACTAATTATGTATGCATTTTATCAATTCGGTGTTATGGCAATATTTAAAACTGAAATGACCTGATGCTTTTGAGTAGTGTTCTTAAAGGTTAAGACCTTGGAATCTAGGCTAGACACACTCTTACCAAGTTGCAAAATCTGCCTTGCCTGTTTCTGTTACATAATATCAGGTTAGTTATGTTAACCTTAAGTTTTCTCACTTAAAAGTAGCGAATATTATTTACCTACATTATGAGTTTTTAATACAGAGCAATGAGTTATTATCTACAAGATATTTGCACTACTTTCTAGTACGAACTAAGTGTCATGAATGTGTTAGTATGGTATTACAGAAACTCTTTCAAAGTTCCTTACATCATTGACCAAGAGACATTGTCTTTATGTTACCAAATTACAAATTATTGGGAAATATTGTAATATGCATATGAGCACAAGAATGTTCTCATGCATAAAATTATATACCAATAAATAATAAACATAATTATTTTGAATTAAAAGGCTATGATGGAGTCAGAAAATATATTTAATTTCAAACAGACATTGGGACAAACATCCCTCTATAATCAATACTACTTTAAAATGGATAATAATTAAATTTTAATAAGGCCAATGGTTTCCAAAAGCGAGTCAGCCTTTTAAGATCACTGTTTCAGTAATTCAAGATTTCTTAGGGGGCAGGCAGTAAGAAGTCCATATCCTGTTTACATGTCTTGTCTCAGAGAGAGGACTCAGTGTCCTCTTTAAACAAGTCATCATTCACGTCCAATACAGAATGAGTCATTGCCTCTTTACTTAGTTTGGCTTTGATGTGGTCAGAACACAGGTCAGGACATATCTTTAATTTGCATGTTTGTTTCAATGAGCAAATTCAGCATTGCAACCAGCAGACACTTGTTTGTCAATCAGTGTTTTGTTTAGTCAATTATATTTTACATTAAGTAAAAGAAAACAGAGTCAATCAATCAGTTTTTAATAGGATGTGGTTTGCAACAGGTTTTCTGCAAACCAGCTTTGCCAAATAATTCTTTTGAACTTTTTTGTTGTTGTTGAAATTATGTAACAGCTCCTGTCTTAAGCCAGAGAAATAGCCAGGTTATAAATTTGACAATGCATGAATGGTGAGAGTGTGGAGAAGAATCTGAGAACACTATTTACTTCCTCACAAAAGGTCAGAGCATTCTGCAAGCCACTGCTAGAAAGCAGCTGTCAAGAGCCTTGGATTTTTGGAAAATGAATGTCTGTGAATTTCAAGATGTGCATGTGTATTTCCTATTGGTAAACCCTTTCATAAGGCAGGGAACATCCTGTCAACCTAGTTCTAAAGTTGTCTTTTGAACAGAGTATGCTGGTAAAAGCACTCTATTACTTAGTATCACTTAACCTAGCTAGAAAGGTCAGAAAAAAAGTATGGCTTTTGGATATCAAGATCTCTGATTATTTTAGCTTGCTAAGGACTCTAACTTGAATGAATTACCCAACGATCCTTCTGGAACTCTTAAAAATTCAGCAGTCCTATTTGTTTGTTCTTTTTTGTCTCCCTAACACTGCTGACTGGACCTAGGTCAGCAAGATATTCACTGGAGACTATCATTGTACCTTTATGTCTATGATCTACATAAAAATACCATTTTAGTGAATGTAGCTGTATTTACTAGATTGCTATTTTTGTTAAAATATAAATAACAACAATGTGTGATTTAACTAATTCATCTTTGTGCCCACACAATAGAAATTTGAGGAAGGAAATATAGGGGAGTCAAAACTCAATGATTAAAATTTAATAAGTATTCAGTATTTCCTATGTGCCAAGCACTGATCTAAGAAAATTCCACACCTCAATTTCAATTCTCCAGTAGGTACCACTGTCATCTTCCTTTTAGAGATAAGAAAGTTGTTGATTATGGAAGTTGGAGTAATATGCCTCTGGCCACAAAGCTAAGGTAAACTAACCACTTGGCATTCCCACTAGTACAATGGATTTCAATGAAGGAATTAATCAGAGTGGAGAAGCGGGGTTTCTCAGAAAAGAACTTTGAAGAATATTGACCATGTATCTGGACTTCCCTCTTTCTGTCTCCTAGTTTCATTGACTATAAATTCCTGGTAAAAATGGGAGATATATCACTAATATATTTTATTTATGTGTATATATATTTTAATATATATACAATATTAAATGTATGTGTATATACATACATGTACATATATGTATGCAATGGATCATATGGAACATACTTGCTAAATCTCTGGAATTGCAAGAAGTCTCTTTTCAAGGGCAGGATGCTGGTGTAGACCTTTGCATTTCCTTCATGCAAAATAAAAACCAGAAATTGGTTTGATGATCATGAAAATAAGTCACAACACTATAGAATGATTTCCTGGCCCATATGGGATGTGGTAGAATGTCCAAGCCAGAGGCAGGAGCCACTGCTGACTCTGCTAACACACATTCAAGCTCTTCAGATTTGCTCTGCTCATTGCCTATCTATCCACTGACACTTCCCAGAGAGAGTTGGAAAAAAGACCAGAATTGTTATTTTGGTTTATTTCTCTACACCTCATTTTTACACATTTTAAACTTGACTTTCCTATGTAAACTGAAGCTATGTTCAGGTTTATCTTCTGGGAATCACTTCTGGAGGGAAAGTTCTCTTCTAGGTATGTCTACTCTACTATAAGGGAAAAAATGAATAAACAAACGAATAAATAAATGTACAGAATGTTATGCTTACAATGGTACTTCAATATCTTTTCTGCCAAAAACAGATTAATTTATAAATATAGTTATTTCAGAATAAATGACATTCTTAAGCTGAAGAAAATTTCATCTGCACAGTTTTTGTCGCTCTCAACATAAAAATTGTTTTCTTTAGGCAATAGTATATTCATGTGTCAATGTAAAATGGGTGCCTCAAATAGAATTCCTTCCATCCTTGCAGGCTAACATTAACACTGTCCTGTCCAATGGATCTCAAGAATTTCCCAATGGATGTACAAACATGCATAATGCAACTAGAAAGCTGTAAGTATGAGCAATTGATGTTTTCCTGAGCACTTTGAAAATGGAGGAGATGTAAGCTTTATTGGCTAGACAGATAATTTATTTTGTAATTTGCTGAACACATTTATTGAATAAGCAAAAATAAAGTGAGTACATCATTGAAAACAAACTGTCATCCATGTTCGGTGAAAACCTTCAAAGGTCCAGACACTTTCTGCATGTTACCTCATAGTTACAATAGAAACATACTTCTTCCCATGTTTTAGATTATGAAAATGATCCCATAGAGTGTGAATCCTGTCAGAGTTGGTGGAAACTAGCTGCCTGGATCCACACCTTATAGTTTCCATTAATCCGTGTTTGATATTTAGCTGAATATGCTCTGCGTGTCATACCAGGAAAAAATGGATCAGATACTCCACAAAGCTTTCAGAGTTCCTCCAAGTGTCTTCCTGGGAAATGGATCTATTCACATCATTGATTAGTGCTAGCACAAAACAGTCTGCCAGGTGCATGTTTCATGAAACATTTTCATAATAATATGTGATATATATGAATAATAAATATGTATATAGTAATCAGTATATAAATAGTAAAATGGTTTACATTATTTAATCAAAGGGGAACTAGTAGTAAATACACAATTTATTTCTATGACTATGTAATATATATTAAAGAACGCTCTAATTTGAAATCTTTCCTGAAGAAAATTGGAAAATTTATATGCAGACTTCAGTCTGACAGGCAAGTCATGTAGTGAGGTAAAGTTGTCACTAGATGGCGTAAAAAACTCATGGGGGAACATGGCCCAACCCTTGTATCCTCACCCAGCACTGTTTTTCTTCAGGACATATAAGCATCTATTTCTTTGTTAATTACTCTTGTCTTTAAACTTTTACTGTTTATTCTGCAAGTGTCTCTTAAATATTAAACACAGATATAATATCAAAGTAACTGAAAGGAAAACAAAGCAACCTAAAATTGGGATATTTAGATATTTTGCATATTGGTAATGCAAGTGGAGTGATGAGTAATGAAAATTGCCTAACAGTACATTCTTTGGACTTTGTCCCATAAAGAAAAGCAACAAGAGAACAGCTGTGTATCTTGGTCAATGTTAGGACACAGAGAAAGCCACACACACACACTCTCTCTCTCTCTCTCTCTCTCTCTCTTCTCTCACACACACACACACACACACACACACACACACACACACACAAAGTGGCAAAACAAGCCACAGGACAAAGCAGTTCCCTGACACTATGTTTACTGAAAGCTATTCAGAGCTCAGAGAGGAACTGTTCAAACATTAAGGGACAAAGAAATTATTTGGTAATTATTTTTATTTACTTATTTATTTAATGCATGTGTGTGCATGCCAGTGCCTGTGTGAACACATGTACATGTGAATGCATACATGTAGAGGCCAGAGACATCAGGTGTCTTTTTCAATTGCTTCTCTACTTCATTACTTACTTATGTGCAGATAGAAGCTCACTGAGTTGGTGACTGGGAATCCTAAGAAACTCTAGGGATCCTCCTGTCTCCACCTCCCAACACTGCTTGAAAACACTCTCAGATTTTTATGAGAGTTTGAGTATTAAAATCAGGTTCTCATATTTGCACAGCAAGCACTGTAACAATGGAGCCCTGTACTAAGGGCAAATGCTTTACCTCAAAGATTATTTTACCAATGATCCAAAATTAAGCAATAATTTTTCTTAATATTCTAAGAATATGAATATAAAGCAGGACCACTGGTTCTGAAATGTAATTTTAGGTATTTAGAAGGCTAAGCCCTGAGGATCATGAGTTCAAGGCCATCCTAGGCTACTTAGCAAGCTCTTTTATATATAATGTATTTGTTCTTTTAACTTTTACTTTACATTCCAACCACAGTTTTCCCTCCCACCTCTCTTCCAGCTCCCTTCCCTCCCGAAACCCACCCCAAGTCCACTCCCTCTCATGGGTAAAGGCTGTCATGAGGAAGCAACAAAGTCTGACGCAATAGGTTGGGGGAAAGCCAAGCTCCTCTCCCATGCATTAAGGTGGAGCATGGCATTAGGCCATAGGTTATGGCCTCCAACAAGCTAGCTCATGCATTGGGTTTGTATTGTGGTTCTATTGCCAGGAACTCCTTTGAAAGTCCAAGCTTCACAACTTTCCCCCACATACAGAGGGCCTAGTTCAGTCCCCTGGAGTCTCTACCACTGTCTAGAGTGTAGAGTGGTAGAGACTCTACCACAGTCTAGAGTTCATGAGTTCCCACATTTGGTTCAGCTGTCTCTGTAGATTTCACCATCATGATCTTGACCTTTCTTGCTCATATGTTTCCCACTCCCTCTCTCTGACTGGACTCCTGAAGCTACACCTGGTGTTTCGTTGTGGATTTCTGCATCTGGTTCCATCAATTACTATATGAAGGTTCTATGATGATAGTTGGTATATTCACCAGTCTGATTACAGGAGAAAGCCAGTTTGGGCACCTTTTCCACTATTGCTAAGGCATCTTAACTAGGGTCATCCTTGTAGATTCCTGGGAATTACCCAAACACCAGATTTCTCCCTAACCCTATAGTGGCTCTCTCTATAAAGATATCTCTTTCATGTTTAGTGAGCCAGTTTTACAGATAAAAACACAAGAGAAGGTTTATGTCATCACTCAGTGGTAGACAAAGCAGTTGATTAGCATGTTCAAGAAAGTCCTAGATAAAAATTCCAATATCTCCCCACACAAATAAAACAAGAAAAGTAAGGAGAGAAAACAAAGGGGAATGAATCTGGAAGGAACAAGTGTCAATATAGATGATTAGTATGATGTGTATTTAAAGGTTCTAGGTACCTGTGAGTGAGAGCTAAACATACCATATAGGTAGGATCATGTCAGACACATTAAGAAGTAATTGGAATATATGAAAAGAAAATATTTACAGGACTAGTAATAAATGCAATATTATCATGTTTGTGGTTTGGAATATTTAGTTCTATAGTCAAAGGGTGTTAGAACTGAAGATAAATTATTTAAAAATTATGAGAATTTTGGCTCAAGAAGTCAGATGAATTTATTGAAAGAAAGCAAAGTAACTACAAGGACTACACCCTTAAGAAAACCTTTCATTTATAAGTTATTGGGAAGATATTCTAGAAAAATATTGTAATAGATGACAAATTAAACTCAATAGTAAGAGGCTGGAGAAGTCTCTTTTAAGCTATCCAATTCGACAACTATAATGAATGGAATTTAAAGAATGGATGAAAGAACCACTGTTATCATTGACAATGACAACCGTGATTAAAATGAGAGTCAAAGTTAAATTTTAAGAACCTAAAAGCTAGTAGATGATGAGAGAATAATAGCAAAGAGCAAAATCTGATAGTCTATGAATGTCATTTGATACACAGACAAACAAACTTCAATATTTGAGGAAAAGTTGGGTGGTAGAGCTCAGAGTACCTATGGTTGTGTGAACAAGAACTAGTAAATTAAAAATTCTTGCTTGGATGGGGGAAGGACCTTCAAGGTCTCACCCTTAACCAGAGAGTTACTAGTCCTTGAGGGCTTCTTAGAGAACACTAGTCAATAATTCTTTGAAAATTGGGTTGCCCATGCCTTCATGGGTGACTGTATACACAGACACATATGGGCATCATAATTAGATTCAGTGGGTCAATAATAATATTTTTTAAATACTGAAGTGGAGAAAGAAATGTGTTTAGCATTTTAGGGGAAACTGGAGAGGAAGAAGGAGTGAATGAAGATACATTAGATACATATATGGAATATTCAAACAGTAAATAAATATTATTAAAATAAATAAGGAAAACTAATCAGGACTACTTTGTGGGATCCAGGACACACAGGGTCTTTCATGTATCTGGCTTCCTCAGACCATTTGTGGAGAAATAGAAAGCTGAATACATGGAAAACAAAGCCTCTTGCTACTTTCTTCCTCCTCCTTAATTTTTTTATGGTGAATAAATGCTCTGCCTCAAGTGGTCCTTTAGCATCAGTATTAAACACTTCCTTCCCTCTGGATGGAAATTGACCTCATCCACAGTGGAAACACCGTCCGTTCAGCAAGCTCCATTAAGAGATGCTCCAGGAATCTTGTACAAAGAGGGTGGCTATGATTATGGAACAGAGAGAGAAAAGATACCCAGAAATTGGATTTTGAAAAAACTAGAAATGATCCCTCATGTCTCAAAGCATACGTTTACGACTTGAGACTAAAACTTTAGGTCATGCACAGCAAAAGTCCACACAGCATCAGTTTTTGGACCTTCAGGTTCCATCTACTATACCATCTCTTTTTAAAGTATTTTTCAGACATGAATCTGCCATTGCAAAAGACATCCTTATTCATACTAGCTTTATTTTAAAATGCAATTCTGTGAAATACATTTGTAAATTACTTTGTATTGAAATGGAATAAATGACTGGCAAACACAGATCTATCATGATTTAAGTTCTATCTCTAAAGAATTTACAGCAATAGGACTAAGGAAAGGTCCTTTATTTGATTTCTAGCTTTTTATTCACATTATAAAAACATTTGTAAATTTGCCACTCCTGTTGACAGTGCCAGTTGTCTGCCAAAGATGACAGGATCTTTAATTATCATTGTAGCAGCAAAACTTTAATTCTGTGCTTCATATCTAAACAATAACACAGACAACATAAGGAAAAGAGATCATTGATTTGTAATACTGAAATAAATTCCAATTGGTGGCAGAAAAGTAAAAACGAAAAAACAAAAGAAAGCCACTGCTAAAATAACAGCCCTGAAAACATAAAACAAATATATAACATACACGTAAAGTAATGTGGTTTCACCAGGTTATATTTAGGAATACACACACACACACACACACACACACACACACACACACACACACACTTGAGTGTGCCCTCGCTCATGCTTTCGCATGCACATGTGCATATAACAACAATTAATTTTAAAAAAGAGGCCACAAATTTGAGGGGTGTATAGAAGGGCTTGAAAGGAGGAAAGGGAAAG